GTGAGAAGGCATCTCATTCCCAGAAGAGAAAAGGGATACAAGGATTGACGTTGCATGCTGTCGAGAAACTTCCCACAGAGTTTAAACCTGTCGAGGTGAGTTTTTCACACAATTTGTTCTTCATTCATTCATTCATTTTAGTCCAATCTGACCTTAACAAAGCAAACTGAACCAAGTCATGAAGTAAGATGACTGTATTGAACTCCCTGATATTTATTCTCAATACGTCCACAGATAAAATTTAATGTGTATGGCCAAGAACTGATAATTCCGTTGGCAAATACTGCTTAAGACATGGAAGACAGCTCCAACAATGGCTACACAACTGAAGTCATCAAGTGGATACTTGCTGCCCAGGATCAAGGGCTTGCAAGCAACAGAACTTATCACGAATTGAGAATGGCCCTGTCTGAGGACATCCATGACTGAATCCCGCCTCCTCCTGCGGTGATTCAAGAAAAAAGAGAGCAAAATAAGACCATCAACACAATACCTATACCACAGGTAAGAGACTGCTTATTGGATATTTCTTATTGATAGACTATGGGCAGTCTCTTTTTTCTTTGTTAGCCGAGCGTGTAGCGAAAAAATATGTGACCATGTGGCCAATTTTCACACCATTTTTTTCTTGCTTAACACTCTGCGGACAGATAAAAAAGAGAGACTGCTCGTAGCTAGTCTATGTTGCTGGCTCAAAACTGAACCCACCCCACTATAAAATAATACCCATGTTCCTTGTGCCTCCATGTATACTTATTTTAAGGAGAGGAAAATAATTTCATTAATTTTAAAGTCTAAAACGTAAGGAAAAGTTATTTACAAACATGATTTTATGCAGTTATGAGTTAAAAGTCATGTAATTATTAATTTTATTAAATAAAGGATCAAAATAAACCACTTTGTTTTCTGGATTGCTTTTTAAGTTCAATATTTATTGTCATTGTGGACCCTGTAAAAAGTAATGCTCTAAACTGACTACCACATCCTTATCCTCTATTTTTTATACCAAGGCTAAGAATGGAGATGGCTCCCACTGCAGCATCAGGGAGGTGTTGGACTTTGGATACTTCATAAAACAATTTCAGAATCAGCTTAGGTTTGCGAGCCTTTTTATGCTATTGTTGAACTTTAGAAAAATACCCTTCATCAGTCTACCCACATGCTGCCTCCCTTTATTTATTCATTTATTTATTTATAAACGTTAACTGAGTCACTCAAACGTAAAAGGGTGTGAAATCACACTTTCTTTGTTCCCTTCGGCTTGCGGACGTGTTTTCTTTTATATTCATTACACCAGAGGCTGAATAATCTAAATTATAACAGAAAACTCCAGCTTTATTCAGTCACCTGTCTTGGTCTTTCCTCTCATCTATTTAAAAATAAAGATGAACCTGGAACCTCCTTGCATGCTTTTGTCGAAAATTATTTTGGTTATACCTCAAAATAATTAGATGTTGTACTTTTCGCTTCTCTTAGCCAGCACCAGCTAAGAGAAGTGAAAAGGGTTGGTGCTACCCTCCTCTACCAGAGAGAAACCCATTCAATTTATAACTACCATCAATTCCTTTCAGTTGGCTCTTAAATATACCTGGGAAATTTCTGACATTTCTTTGGCTTTTCTAACATCAAAGTTTCAATTGAGGGCACAAAAATCAGAGGCAAAATGCCAGTTTTTTATAAACGTGGCTATCCTGGTTCTGTTGTTCAAGAGGGCCACCATCATGCCCAACAAATTGATCAACAGTCAGCACTACCAATGACTGAGAAGGAAAACAGTTATCGCGTTCCATTCACTCACAGTTCGCCCTCACAACCACGCAGTTAAATCTATCATTCTTAAAAACTTTAAATTACGTCAAAACAATTCAGAGACTGGTACTATCTTTTCACAACCTTCACTAATTTCATTCAAGCATGACAAAAAGATAGGCAGCTTTTTGGTCAGAAATTCATTTCAAACCAATGACCAATCTGGAACTTTCATATGTGCTCACTCATGATGCAAAACTTGTCCTTTCATAGAGAAAATGTCGGGATTCAAGAGATCCATTAAGATCACTTATCACTTTACATGTACCTCTGCCAATGTCATTTACTGCATAACGTGCACTTATTGCAATAAGTTATACATTGGTGAAACAGGAAGATGACTAGGTGAATGATTCCAAGAGCACCTTCACGATGTAGAAAGAAATTTCAAGGATGCATCCAAATCAATCGTTAGACACTTAATCTCCCTAATCCTTCTACACAACATATGGCAGTTTGCAGCCTTTCCCTACATCTAGGCAATTCAGAGCTGCAAACCACTGGAACAAACATTTATTGTCCAAAGCGGCACTCTTAATCCCCACTGTATCAACAAGCGCTTTTCATTGAACTAATTTATTCTTGTTTTCTTGTCACCATATTCCCACCAATAGCATTGCTCCATTTTCTGCATACAAACCCAGACACAACCCACAGTTCCTCCGATCATTCTGAAGTAGGGCGAACACTTAAAACTTCAGCCTTTAAACTCTTTACGGTAGTCAATTTACATTGTCAACCCAGTTGTTAACACTAAATTACCTGTTATGACTAGTGTGGTCTTTTTGGTTCTGACAAGAAAAAACCTAATTAACTTCTTGCCAGCAAAACTTGAAGAGATTGGTGTCCTCTTCCTAGAAACTAAAGAAACTGTGATAACACTATGGAAATATTTTTATAAATTTTACAACCAAATCAATTCTGATCCTACTACTGATGACTTCTACCACGATATTTTTCAGAATTGTTGAGACTTTGTAAACTTGTTCTGTTCAATCCGTGGGGTTAGAATAGGCTATGCAAAGAAAAGAGTTACTCCGTACATGCATCCACTACTATATGTTCCAATGTTCATCAAAACTTCTAATAACTTCGGACAGTTCACTGGTCAAGGTATTGAAAAAAACAATGATGATGCAAGGTTCTCAGTAGAAGCAGGCAACCGGCAGAATTCTGCTGGCTGTAAGAACGAAGTTAGCCACCTGTAGTGGCTTTAAAATTCTTCATTTAATTCAAAGGAAAAGGTGAGTGAAAAAAAAATAATTATTGCTAATTCACAACATCGTTCTCGCATCAGTTTCTGGTTATCAAGGATGCATGAAACTACTGGAAAACCATTTCACAGTACATCACATTCGTGACTGCTTCTGACAGATGCCAAAAAGCACTGTCAGCTATAGTGCGACCCGAAGATTAAGTTACTAATTTTTCACGACTTGCATGATCACTACACACGCAAGTTATAAAGTTGCTACCAACATTGAAAGTAAGATAATTAAAATGTCAAAACGAGAGAAAACACTCTTCAGATACTTCATGCCAATGGTTAAGAAGAAGAAGAACGCAGAAGTCAGTGGTGAGAACCCCAGTAAGTTATGTAAACAACTTATAATTTACTGAATTTCTAAATCAAAAAAGCTCTAAAATTAAGCAAATATTTTCGATCAGTTAGCATATTTTCCAGTTCTAATTTTGGTGTCAACAAGCTCTTGACTAAGTTTCTGTCACTAAATAAAAATTGAAGGTAAGAATCCCAGTCTAAGTGAAGGAATGGCTTTTCGTGATGCACCATCGCCAGTTCAGATGGTCAAGTGCTGGCAGACTTGTTAGGCAAATTCTTCGCTTTCGGCCCTGTAAATGTAAACAACTCTTCAATTAAGCAAATATTTCGATCAGTTGCCATATTTTCCAATTCTAATTTTGGCGTCAACAAGCTCTTAACGAAGTTTCTGTCATTAAATAAAAATTGAAGGTAAGAATGCCAAATTCTAAGCGAAGGAATGGCTTTTCATGACGCCACATCGCCAGTTCGGATGGCCATGTGTTGGCAAAATTATTACACAAGTTCTTCGCAGTTTCGATGCACCCACGTGCTTTAGCTTTTACCAATCTAAGCTATAGACTCCTAGAAAAAGGGCTAGCTATTTCATGATCCTTAGCAATTTTGTGTCTAAAAATACGCGGTAGTGTACATGAAGCATAATAAAGCAAAACAAATCAATGAAACAGAATGGAGCGGCAGAACACCTCTATATTCGTGACCAAATTTTTTTTTTGAGCACATCTGTTGTGTTAGTTATTTGAACAAATTTACAGAACAGAATGTTACACGTAATTACCGCAAGAAAATAGAACACACCTATCTAGCTTTTACTTAACCTAAAAAGCACACTCCAAATTCAAGACGTCTTGTGAGAAAGAACTCAAGTGCCGTTAAGTCAATATCAGGAAACAAAGAAAAGGAAGCTTTAGTTCCCTTATTTCAGGCTTGTTTACAGCACGACATTGATACCTTCTAAAGACATTTCATCTGTTTTTTGCAGCTGGAAATCAGTTTACCAAATCGCGGGGAGGTTGAAGTTAAAGAGCAAGAAAAAATGCCATGCTGAATGAGATGCAGAAGATTTTCGTTTCAAGAGCGACTAATGTTTGCCTCCACAACTACTACGAATGTGCAGAAACAATCACTACCAAACTTTCGGAGAAAGAAGTCTCACGTTTTACTTCAAGCTGCAGTCGTGACAGATTTGTCCATGGCTGGTTGGCAGACAAAAGTATTTCCTTCTGCAAAACGACTGGCCTATATTGGCTAGTGTATGAAGAGGGGCAGGGAATGTACTGTTTTCTCTGTAGGAAACATAACACTGAAAATGCGAAGAACAAATCCAAGGCCTTTAATTCCACTCCGAGTGTTCATTTTAAAAAATCGGCTATTAAAGATCATTTGTTATCTCATCAACACAAGGATGTCGTTGAAGCAGAGATGCTGAGCAGTGTCGCAGTTTCACAAGGGAGTTACAGAGAAAGAGAAGGTGAAGGATGTAGTCTTAATGAATGCTTTCCTGGCTGCTTACTGGCTAGCTAAAGTTACAGATATGGCTGTACTGGAACTCTTAATAACGTTAATTCCAAGACAGACAAAGTGGAAACACATTTCCTGTTTGTTGAAGACATCTTAAAAGATTCTACTTCTGCAAATGCTGAAACCATCTTTAACATTCTAATTAGAAAGCTAGATCACTATGGTCTTCAACTTCAAAAGCTGAGCTCCATGGCTTCTGATGGAGCTACTGTCATGGTGGGTGAACAATCAGGTGTAGCTGCTCATCTTAAAGAGGTCAACAATAGAGTGATTACGTTTCACTGCTTGTGCCATAAACTAACCCTTGCCTGTACTGACACAACCAGTGACATCAACTACATAAAAAATGTTGAACTGTGGTTGAGACAACTATAGAAGATGTTCGAAAATTCACCAAAGTGGATGGCCCTTTACTTGAAAGTTCAACTTGAAATCAAGTCTGTCAATCTGTAAGATAAAGGCAAGGAGACTGTAGGCAAAAAGCTGAAAAAAACCGTGTCAAACAAGATGGCTTTCTTTTCATGCTGCTACCTCTGACATTTTCATTGACTACCTTGTAGTTCAACAGACACTGAGACAGCTCAAGGATGAAGATGCTGTAGCATCTGGTCTCCTCAGCAAAGTCAACACAGCAAAATTCATTAGAGTCATCTACATCTTGAATGCTGTCCTACCCATCCTCTCTTGCCTCAGCAAGACCTTTCAGAAGGGGACAAATAATGAATGGACTTCGGGTATCACTACTCATAATGATTTTGGTCTTGACGAGAGTTTGATGGGCCTAAAAGTGCAAATGTTGCTAAAAGAAGAAGCTAAAGAACCATTATAGAGGTTGCATCTTAAAAGCACATATATTTAGTGGAGAAGGATGCTTATGCACAAAGTTAAAACTGGTCATTTAAAAATTCCCAAAAATTGTGAAGGGTCTTTCCTTTTCAACACTAAGCAATGTAGAGGATGCAGAAATAAAAGAAGTCTGAGATCACACTTCTTTTTCAAGGAGTTTCCTGGATTGTCACTCGATAACCCGCAGACCACTTATTTTTTCTCTGCTAAGGAATCCCAACAAGGATTAAACTACCTGTAGCCTGTTTTAAGCTACCAATCAACAATTGATTTAAGCCTCTGATAATGACAGGCTTCACTTGCTCTTTGGCATCAAAAAGTTGCATGCAACTCGCCTTTACTGGAGCAAAGATCCACTGCTCAGCATTCCAGCAGTTCAAAATGTAATTTCAAGAAATAGCTCTGATAAACTGTCTAAATATTTGCACTAAAAAAGAAATGCAAATCAAGTGCCTCGTGAAAATTCTGCTCACCATAAGCTTTTTAAAGTACAACCACTTCTCAATCATGTTGTACAGAATTGTGGAATGGAACTGAAACAAGAAAGAGATTTGTCAGTGGACAAGGCAACGGTTAAATTTAAGGGACATTCAAGGTATGAAACAGCACATGCCGATGAAGCTGGTGAAATAGGAAATCAAAGTGTGGGTTTTAACAAAAGCATCTGGCAGCTTTGTTCGTAAATTTCAGGTGTATACAGGGAAAAGACAAGATGGCCTTGCAGAGCAGAACTTAGGTTATCATGTTGTTCATGATTTCTCACAGAACCTGACAGTAAAAAGTCACCATGACTTTTCAACAACTTTTTCTCAGCTATCAAGTTTGCGGAAGATCTTTTAGAGGACGGTATCTATTCTTGTGCATTTGAGAGAGCAGACAGCAAGGAACTTGTCACAAACAATTGCAATCGATCTAGCATACAAGGCAAGGAGAGGCAGTCTTTCGCAGAGAAACAATGTGGTTGCAACAGTGTGGAAAGACAAAAAAGTGTTCCATTTCATTAGCACTCAAAGCAATCCAGTCAGAAATGAGACAGTGAACCGTATAGAGTGTGACAGAACAATAATAATTATTATTCATAAGCAGTGTCCCTATTGTAAAAAGCTACTAGAGAAGGGTAAGAATTGATCCACCTGAGCGGCTCCACAACTATTATGCCATTGGAAACAAGTCTTGAAAGTAGTGGTGCTACTTATTTCTGGTTTTGTTTGGATTTAGGAATTGTCAACTCTTTTATTTTGGAGGGAAAGGTGATTAACCATCCTCAGAGGCTGGGCAAAGGCCTCTTACTTTCAGAAAAGGGCAATGCAAACGTTGTCTCAATGCAAAGACAACATTTTGCAGAATGGGCTGCCAGCACTGCAACAAGCACAATTGTTAAAAGTGCTCTCCAAACCACATCTGTGACTGATATCACAAGCACACAAAGGTTAAACTAGTTGACCAGGAGGTTTCTTAAACAATTTTCTTCAATGATTAGGACTCAAGACATTGCTTGACTTTCTCTTTAATGTATATGATGTTATTTATTTAAATTTTTGAGGGTTTTTTTTTTGTGGATATCACTTCATTACAAAGTTTTTGACCATTTCATTGCTAAGCAATTGCTATATAGAGTGTAAATAATGGAAGTTTTCTAAGTTGTACACTATTCAGGTTGCTCAAATTCACCCCACCACCACCCCCCATTGCCTTTCTGCTGTAATTAAGATCTAGAATTAAAGATTATTTCAAGCTAAACAATTTTGTCTTTCGCTTGATAGTTTTTAAGATAAAAGACATTATTGAAGACATGGTAAAAACAAGACATGTAATGATTTCATTGGTCATTCATTTGTCAGAGTCCTAGGGATGTCACCAATCTTGATGAAGACTTCAAAAATGAAGTGGCAAGTGTCCTTGTTGATTGTAGGCATTGGCCAATTTGGCTGTCACTTCAAGATTAAAAAAAAAAATTTCAGGGCCACGGAAAGCTCCTCGAAATTCCATTTTAGTATCAACTCCTGGAAAACTCCATTAAGTTGTCTCTTAATATTAGTTGCAGTATTAAAAAAAATAATCTTTTCAAACAATTTTAACTGGAACTGCAGTTTGTAAAGACAGTGTGGATTAATCAGTTTTGGGTAAGATGGCTGTTGACTGGAGAAGTATATGTCAAAGACTGAAGAAAGGCTAGAACAACTTTGACTTGCCTTTTATCAACTGGACAAATGTGTATCCTCAATGTCTCTTTTGCCATATCAGTTTGCTTTTATTCAAAATGCCAGCATCATGAGTGTCATAGTGTCAATGAACTAGGATAATTCAATAGGACAATAGGGAACATGATTAGGTGCAAAGTTTATGCAAGGTATGTTATGTAACACATGTCCCAGAGCAGAACTTTAAATAGTCGAGTTGCATGCATGTTTGTCAGTTACAGCTTTAGGATTTAGCAGTGAATTTTAAAGTTTGGTCAGCTGTTTTAAATCCCCGGTGTAGTGATGTTATTCTGCGCTTAGACAGAACAATGAGAAGGATGTGTTTTATGAAATTTGCTACATAGAAAAGCTCACCACTGAGTTCAAAGCTAAAAGTGATGACATCTGGCAATAGTTTGCCCATAAGTATCAATATCCCAAACATAAATTGCAAGTTTTAGGACATTCTGGAGCACAAATTGGAAACTGCTGATGGTCCTAAACTGTTTCATCTTGGAAGCTCTCTCCTTTACACAGTTCATGGTACCAGGCTGCTCACCTCTTCCTTTGTCTCAAGCGAGCAGTTTCCATGCTCTTTTCAAGCATATTGTTGGAAGAAGAAATACCTTGTTAACAAAATCATAAGGTATATGAAAATCTGGTTTCCCAGGAGAAAGGAGAGGGGAATTTATCACCTACTTATGAAAGAATTTTTAAGAATGACAAAACAACAGTTTTGCTTTCTAGTGGGAAAGGTATTGCCTCTGTATGTGCTCCCAAGTTATGGAACTGTCTTCCCAGTTATTTTAAGTGTTGCTCCAGTGTTAGTACCTTTAAGTCACCTCTGAAAACTTATCTATTTGAACAATATCATAAGTAATTGTACTTTTTATTTCATTTTTTTATTATTGTTACCATGAAGAGCCTTAAAACTTTTGTACAAAGCTGCCAAGCAACAATTCAGCCCACAAACACCTTTTTGTAACTCTACACTTTTCAACCATTGGTGAAACATTTTACTCCCTTGAGTAATCATTCAGAAGTTAACATCAAACAATTTCTTTTATCCTCTCAGAGACAACCAATGCCCTGTACAGAGTTCTTACAGCTGAGTTTCTTAAAATGCCAAACAGGAAAAGAGTGTGACAGTAGCCAACAAATTTGAGTCAAGACGGAATTCCCAAATGGCATTTGAGTAATAGACAGAAAGCAAGTAGTCATTCAGCAACCCTCAAACTCAGGCTCTCACTTCTAAGACTACTATAACAGGAACAGTATTGTTCTTTTGGCTGTATTTGGTCTGACATTCTACTAATACTCCCAAGGGAGTTTGTAGAAATTTGTTTATATCATTTGCAAGACAGAACATCACACAAACAGTTTTTTAGCTCAGTTTATAGTATATAACAATTCCTTTATGTGTTTAACTCTAGAATTTTTTTAAAATTTCACATTAATATTTTTATATAACTCTCTAACTGTAATTGTAATTAATTATACCTTCATACATGTACTACTGCTTATACTCTTATATTGACCTTTTTGTTTCTTGTGAATTATAAAGCACAACATAATTCAGCTTGCTGCTGTGATGTTTTAGAATAAAGTAACTGTTTATTCATATATCCAAGTGAACACTTTTTAACCACTACAATTGACTACACAAATACAGCATAGGAAGAAAGGGGTAATGCAGCTCCCATAGTTCAATTTCAAGTTCTGCATGACAAAGCAGCTCATATTAAAACTTAACACCTCAGACATTGGCCACTGAGGCCTCAGAAAAAACTAGGATGGGAGTGTGCCAGACATTGTACATTGTATACGCTTTGACATATGAGTGCTTCAACAATTACTTTGCACATACTTTCCACAGTGCTTTTGATAGTGATTATCATAATTACAACACAATGATTTTAGGACAATGTAGGTAAGACTGCGTCCAACAGCAACTGATGTCTTCCAAAGTCCTTAACCTTTGTAGCCAACCATTGTAACAACAAAGACATATCAGTCAGAAGGCTCCAGAATATTGACAAATTTAAAAGCACCATACTAAGAATACACTTAAGTTTTTTTAGCATAAATTATTTCATTTCTTCAGTTAAAGTATTGATTAGCTATATCATTATATCAACACCTTATCTTCTTAATCAGTACTTTTTCAAGTCTTGTAAACTTTCTTTTCTTGTTGGGAGGACCCCTTTGTAAAGCAATTTTGTAGTGAAGTGGGTAACCTCAATATAGACTTACTAAAACTGGAAAGTTTGGAAACAAATTTGGAAAAACTATGTGACCATTCCCAACCTTAGCACACAACCACCTCAATACAAGGTAGCATCCTTTCCATGTTGTATAAGCGTAGAGGCATCAAAAATTTTCAATGGATTTCAATTTGACAATCCAGAAGAGATAACCTGAGAAAGGTTATTGAGAAGTTTAACCAATACACCATACATGAACTAATTGAGACCTTTGAGAGACCCCAGTTTGACTCGAGAAATCAAGAGGAGAATGAAACCCTTCAAACCAGGAGATAAATCAAAGCTGAAGCCAAAGTATCACCAAGATTAAATGAGCAGTCATATACAGGTAACACTGAAGAAACAAGCAAGATCGGAAAGACACCTGAGTCACCAGTCCAACCTCTACAATCATATCATATGAGCAACAACGACAATAATCCCAAATCGGCTGAACCCTGCTTCCTTGCCTCGTCTGCCATAACACTTGATAATTCAGCAGCATCACCATCAGAGGGTAGAACTGGTCAGCAACAAAGACTGCCGAGATGTGTTGCAACGCAAACATTGTCACAGAACTATATCTTTCTTTAGTTATCTCGGAAAATTAATTGACATCTACAATAAATTTCTCAAAGAATATAATTCAAACCTGAACAAGTTCGGAATGACCTTATTTGAATTCTTGCTGTTGTAGTATCACGTAAATCGCAGCGCACGTGGATAAGGAGCTTCAAACGTTCAAATAGTCCAACACTATGATACCAAAGGACTCAAAACGTAAATGCATACTACCTCCATGTCATTCAGGTGGCTCGGTTACAACCCTGGGCTCGGTTTCATTTAACTCTGTCTTTCTTGTCACACCAGCAGTCTGCCAAGTGTGTCATGATCAGTTGAACAACTGCTTCGTTCGATAGTTGAATTGCTCGGCAACCCACCTTAAAAAGATTCAATGGCCTTTTCCTTAACTAAAGAAAACTATGGTGTTGATTTTCAAACATATTCAACGTTGGAAGATAGCAAAAGGGTCACTGAATGCCGTACAAAACTCACCTTCCTAGTTGACATTGACATTCCGCCACCTTAGATTGCGGCAAGGGCCAAATGTCGCTTTGAGCATGCGCACTGAGTTTCTCACAGCTCTCGCGGGCAAATATTGCTAGGGTTCCCCTGAGTAATCAATCCGACAATCACAAGGTCTTTGCGTCACGTGCTGTTGAGAAGAATTCGAGATAATACTGAGGGGCCACTTAATGATGTAAAAGTACTGTAATCAAGTTTGTAGGTCCCGAGGTAAGGGTTGACATTGAGCTGTAATTGTGGGTACAAAGTCAACCCTTGTCTCGAAACCCTTGTAATGAAATGCCCCGAAACAGAAGTGCAGATACTAATTAAATCAAATTAAACTGTGTGAATTTTCTTTTCAATCGTGCATCGTTTTTGTATCTATAAAACTATTTCTACTTTACGCCATATCATGTAGTTTAATTCGGCTCAAACTCTAATTTCCTCGTTTGCTTTGCGTTTACAGCAAATGCGCTAAGGTCAGGATCGAGGTTTAAGAACGATAATGCTCCCGAAACAGGAGTTTAAAGACTCGTTTAATCAAACGAACTTAAGTGCAATTTTTTTGTGTGGATCGTATGTGTAAAACTACTTCGTGTGTGATGGGAAGCCACAACCTCGGCTGACCGTCCCGCAGGAACTTACTTGACTTCCAATTTTCACACTGTAGAATAACCATATTGTTTGCACCCGTTCTGACTTCGAATGCAATAAGTTCGAATTTTTTTAAATGCTTCCGAGGTTTAAGCTTTTCCTTGGTCAGAGAAGATGATACCAGTGCTAGAATACCTCTAGCCAGGAATCAATCAATCCTGGTTTCGCTGATAAACGCTTTATGTTATTCAGTAAATGACACTGGCACGTTCGGCGAAAAAAGAAATTCCGAGTGCTCTTAAAAGGATTCGAACCTATGAACTTCTGATAAGTATTTTGAACTCTTTACCTCTGAGCTATAGACTACTCGTTAGAAGCTTGGCCATTAAACTAGGTCAAATTAATAAAGGAGGTAAGTTTCTAAAGGAACTGTGGTGCTGCGTCGGTGGGAGGGTATTACAGGGTAATGAAAAATTGAGTTGATAACGTAAATTGGCTACCGTAAAGAGTTTAAAAGCTGATGTTTCGAGCGTTAGCCCACTGTCAGAGCAATTGGAGGAATTGTGGGTTGTGTGTGGGTTTCTATGCAGAAAAAGGAGCGAGGGTATTGTTGGGAATATAAGTAAGTAAAAACAAGAATAAATTAGTTTAATAAAAAGCGCTCGTTGATACCGTGGGGATTAAGGGTGCCGATTTGCATGATAAATTTTTGTTCTAGAGTTTTACGGCTTTCCGAACTACCTAGATGTAGGAAAGGCCCCAAACTGCCATATGTTGCTTAGAATGATTCGGTAGATTAAAGTGTCCAGTGGATCTCTCGGGTCCCGACATTTTCTCTTCGTCATGAATAAAAGGATAATTTTTGCAATGTGAGCGAGCGCATTTGAAAGTTCCAGGTTGGTCACTGGTTTGAATGAACTTCTAACCAAAAAGTGGAGGTTGTGAAAAGATAGTGCCAGTCTCTGAATCGTTTTGAAATACTTTAATTTTTTTAAGAACGATAGATTGAATTGCGTGGTTGTGAAGGTGAAATTTGAGAGTGAATGAAATGTGATCAGTATTTTCCTTCTCAGCTGTTTGTAGCGCTGACTGTCAATCAATTTGTTTGGCGCGGTGGCAGCCCGCTTGAACAAAAGAAACGGGATAACCCCGTTTGTCGAAAAACTAGCGCACTACCTATGATTTATCGGAAAAATCAGAGTCGTCACTTCATGAACAACGAAGTCTGGGAAACTGTGAAAAAGGTATGGAATTCATGACGTGTAATGGTTGCGAAGATGAATACCACAAGTAACTATGTGAATCTCTAGGTTTGAGGTAAAGACTAGTGCAGAGTGCAATTGAAATTTTGATGTCTAGAAAAGCCGGTAAAATTTCCGCACAGCCCCATACTACATTAAGCATTCAGTTCTTGGAGAGAGAAAACAATGACAAAACAGTACATCGCCGTTGGAAAAACAGATTTGTTTATAGTAGTATGGGGCTGTGCGGAAATTTTATCGAAAAGCCAAATAAGTGTCGGAAATTAATTAGTGCTTCGAATGCTCCAACACTGAGCTTTGGGAAACTCGACGCAAGCCGGGTCGTTTCCATGGAGACAAACTTCCTACATACTGGGAGGATAGGAATGTCGCTATGTAATACTCATGGTAATTTAGGGTTAAAAACTAAGTTAAAAACGTAAATTAGCCACCGTAAAGGGTAAAAAAGCCGACGTCAGCTTTTTTACCCTTTACGGTGGCTAATTTACGTTTTCAACTCAGTTGTTAACACTAAATTACCTGCTATACTCTCCCACCGACGCAGCACCACAGTTTCTTTAGAAACTTACCATTTTATTAATTTGTAATACTCATAGGCATGCATAACCTTTGGAGGACTCGTTACAAGCGAGGCCGTTTCCATGGTGACAGAGTTTCTGTATACAGCGAGAATAGAAATGACGATAGGTAACGTTCTTCCACATGCATGTAATACTCTTCTCGAGACAAAGCGGTAAAACTTTTCCTGCGTGAATGAATTTCGTCCAGGAACTAACAAAACATCGTTTTACTCTTTTTGGATTGTTATTGATATGAGCGAGGTGGATGATTTAATACAGTTTGTTCTTATGGATAGATCCAAACGGTACCTAGCATTCTCTTTATTATAGTTCCAAATACGCTGTTTTAAATTTGTCTAGACAACTGAAGCGATACTAGTCGCTACGAACTTTGTAGCTATGTTGCGAATGCTTGTCTTCAGTCCCTGAACTTATGCCTGTTACTGCAACGTTTTTCGTTTTTTGTTGGCTGAGATATGTGACGGAAAATGTTCGATAGAAACCCTCCTGTATACAACAACCCAATCAAATTTAGTTAAGCTTTTCCATTAGAAAGGAAAACAAACAGTGGGAATTTCAATATGCCGCCATTTTGCTGCAATATTGTTATCATAGAAATATTGTCGTTTCAATTCCTTTGCGCGCGTAAACTTCTCTCGCGTTACAAGTACTTTGCCCCAAGATAGTTTGCGATTGTGAAAACCGTGGGGGCTTTGGATGTCCTTAGATGGAAGTTTACGGACTTACACTACATCATAACATAAAGCGGGTGCCTTGCGAAAAGGAAAGCAGTAGCCACATCAAAAACCCGTGCGTGCACGATCTAGCACCGCTGGCTGCAGCTAGTCCTTTTGGGCCACCTAAAAGTCCTCGTTGCTTTTTCCCGCGCCCATGTCAGGTATGAGCCAAAACTCTCCCCCCACTCCTCCCTCAATGGTTGTTTGCTCTATTCTCCAGGCTTCCCTCTGATAACACCAATCCAATATGGCGGCCTCATCGTGCGAGCGCAATATTTAGCACTCGCCCGCCAAAAGATAGCCTACTGTGCAGGTTAAACTTTATTAGAGTTCTGTTAGAGCAAGAAAAAATGTGTAGCAACATGCAAGATAAATTCAATCTTTTTGGTCGTGGATTTATAGCAGTTCATGTTGGTAATGTATGTCTACTAAATGTTTAGCGATAGTACTATTCTAAACTATTCTCACAAGGCATTCTTTTTCAAGTTTGTTTCGTCTTGAAGAACACACTTCTTGAAAAAGCAGTTGGGTTTCTTCGAACAAGACAACCATTGATAGCCTCATGATTGATTGTCAGAAACACTAGCCAGTATATGTGTGTTGGGGGTGGTAGCTTAGTCAGTCACAGTGCTTCCGCATGAGAGAGCTGGAGGTGCAAGCTGATTAGAGAGGGGAAGGCTTATTTAATAGCACTGAAAGTCATAATGTGACTGATCGTTATTATTACAAACTGTCACCAAACTGTGATGAATCATTTACGAATTTCTCTGGTTGAAAAAGCATTACTATTATTATTATGTTCAGATCTCTTGGATGTAAGTATATTTGCTAATCTTCCTTAACAAGAGATATAAAATCAAGTTAACTCCATCTCTAGAGCCAACCGATTGAGAAAATTGTGTCCATGGAAGGTTTAATATCTTCTTTTTATTTCATTTTTTGAATATACTTCATGAACATCTTCAGGCTTTATATTATCACAAGTTGGCATACTTGGTATTGTCACTTAGCAACAAATAAGTAAGGGAAACTTTTTTAGTGAATTATCATACTGCATGTTCACTTACTGACATGTGTTAAAGGAATTTTTACAGCTATCAGTAAACTAATAAACACAATTGGTAAACTTGTTTACAGTTTATTGAAAGAAAACTGAACATGTCAGGAAAATTGTTACAAGTACTCAGAGTTACTCGAACAAAAAGTAGTTAAATACCTTGAAAAGTTTTTTTCCCCAATCTTCTGGTACTAAAAAAGCGGGAACATTTGTCCCTCTTTGACAGAAGAAATATTTTTTCAAGAACGCTTTTATCTCTGACACATGTTGTGTTATTGGTAAGTGACAATAACAAATTTATTATTTCAGGTGCTGGGTATCATTCTGTTTCACACGAAAATGAGTACAAACAGGCCTGCAGAGCTGCATGTGCCGAGGTATAAATTATAATCAAATCTTTAACCTGTATACCTCTGAAGTAGATCCTCCTAACATGATATTTCTTTTTTTGCAAGAACTGAGCATTTGCTGTTGTAACTCAGGTACACAGTAACTCCTACTTGACAATCTATGTATTTCTCATTTGCTGTTTGTTTGATAGGGACTGAAAATTTAAGGAAAATTATATAGTTTATTCAGCAGATCATTATCTTTCCAGGCCATGAAAGCTATCAAACAGGGATCCTCAGCCAAAGATGTTGTGATCACTGCAATAACAGCTTTAGAGGTAGAAGTTACTGCACATTTGAATCCAGATATTGATGAAATAGCTATCAGCATGATACAAGTTAGAAGATACATGGCATCAATTGGCTACTTTTAGAACAGTTTTTCTTCTCTTGATAATACCTTGTGTGTCTTTGTAAGAGGGGAAGGATATTAC